TTTTATTAATAATAAATTATTAATAAGATTAGATCGTTGGCATATTAATTAGTTGTTAATATTGACTAATGTTTAATAATACATCAATTATTGATGATTGATAGATATTAATAATATTAATGATTAATAGATATTAATAGATCCTGATGATTATCATTAATGATTGATGACATCACAAATTGATTAATATTATATTAATATTAACATTCTATTAATTAATTAATAGATTAAACATTAAGAAAAATATTTTAAGAAAAAATCGTTTATTATCTTAGAATTTGAAATCGGCTTAATTTGGCCTGAAATAATACTATTTAAATCTATAGACCGTCCAGTTATACGAATGTTAGCGCCCATATCACACTGCTCATAGCGATAAAGTTTACTCTAAATGTCCATGTTGCTCATTAGTTAAATAAAATGCGATACGATAATTTACCATGCGATAAAATTAAGCTTCTAGATGTAAGGATATTTAAAGTAAAGAATTGTGCTTGCGTTGAGCACTTTAGAGTGGATAACTCGTAGAGTCTCGAATTGAACGACTCTCTCAAAATATGATCCCATGCTATTCGTTTTTGTGTTGTTAATATGGTTTCTAAATTTTCACGGCATATATAATCGATTTCGATATATACGTATTGTACTTGTATGTTCAAGTTTTGCGTTAGTATTTATGTATTTAAATCTTTAATTCTGTTATAAAATGAAATCACACGGTTTTTGCAATTTCCTTTTCTCAGTTTGAATATTCTGAGATCGATTTATTCGACATATTCAATAACTCTCTTTGTGTCACTTTCACGATAAATCATAATGATTTAATAAGATCACTCTGTCGTAATGCGCTAACGATAATTAACATTAAACTAAATCAGAAGTAATTCTAACTTTAATTAAATCGTGCTTCGAATGTCGCCGTGCACTATGCATAAGACTTTACATCTCCGTCTTGTTTATACATTTTTGCACATTGTATATGTTACTGAATCACTGACTTGTTAATGTCAATATCCGTTATACATATATCTAGCTAAGATTTCAAAATTATTATTATTAAGTTTTAACGATTAAGATTCACGTGACTAAGTTTCCTGAATACACTGCGAGCCATATTATAATAATAAGAGAAACAAGCGGAGAATTTTTTTTCTCGACCTGTGTGAAATCGATGATTCATAAGTCTTAGTAAAATTATTTTATATTGTAAACATTTTTTTAATTCACCGTTGGTCTGATCACTTCCATTTATGATGAGTTTACTGTGTTTGGAAAATAAGTAGTTTTCACGTAGATAATTAATTTTATTTTTTCTAAATTTTAGGCAATTTGTTAATTACGTGTCAAAAAGAAAGGGAAATCATGATTAATTGACGCGTCTTTACAAATGTGAAGGTGGAAATATTTATTCTATTCAAATCGTATTTTTTATTGTCCCTTTATTGTAACGTAACACTGTAAAGGCGATTTTTTTTTCGAAGTGACGCGATCGATTATATCGGAAGTCCTAAGACTATAAAGGAAATGCTGGATGTTTCCGCGTAAATCTCGCATATAGTATGGTATGGCTAAATATCGTTTAAATAGGCTGTCGTAGTTATATAGTGTGTATGTTATTATATATCATAAACGAAATGTCATTGTTGTTTTTTGTTTGATTTGCGTAGAAACAGGAGAGGAGGGAGTCATCTTTATTATATCGTCACACTTAGATATGTAAGCGACATCACTAATCGGTATGAGATAAGCTGAAGAAAAGAGTGACTTCAACTTTTAATATTGCATGTGAATTCCTTCTCGTAAAAGCCAATTGTAGAGATTAAGGATGGAACGTATCATATAGTCTTTGCGAACGGAACGAGTGATTTCGTTGCGAATATGTGTGTATGTGTGTATGTATGCGGATGTGAATTTAATCTGTAATTTGTTGCGAAATTTTTTTTGAGTGAATTGCGACGTACGGAAATCAAGTCTGTGGCTGTTTTGTTAGGAACCAGAGAATTCTCGCGCATCAGACGACGCTAATAATTTGCAAAATTCATAGGATAACGTTAACGATTTTACAGTTTTATTTTACGATACTATTGGACAAAAATATGATGATCGTTAATTCATTCTCAGGTGCTCTCGTATTGTAAGTTTTACAGAATTGTTCCATTAGCTTCACAACGCCTCCCGTTGTGATACGAGAAAGCGCAAGAGAGCAAATCCGTTTGCTTTATTATTCCTTTTCTGTCTCTTTCTTTATTTTCTTTAAATATCAAAATTCTTAGAAAAAAATCGTTTGATTCTCTTCCTCCGTTTACCTGTGTTTGGCAGCTCGGTGATCAGAGAAGCGTCGACTATACGCGCACATTTTCTATTTGTATAATCGTCGAAAGCGAGCGAGAGATTGTACTCAACTGTGTGATTGTAACAAGATTCGAATTTGTATAAATGCCAATGATTTATTGCCTCGAATCTGCTATTGTTTAATTTGTCTACCTAATCTAGACATTATTATAATACTAATGTACTGCATGTTTATCATTTTCTTGTATTGTGTATGCATATTGCTTGTTCAGTGATATTTCGTCTTATCGTTGTTTATTTTTGTCGTCGCTCCCCCGACCTGCACGAATCACTAGAAATTTATCGCATCCATTTTTGTTGAATTATACATATCCATCGGGATCATTTCGTTCCAAAGGGCATATAATTTCTCTTATCTCTTGTCTCTCATGAACGCAACAACAATTCTTAATGGATTTCAGTCGCTCTATAAATAATGGTATGTCGCATCATTTTCCATATCAGAAATATGATTATGTTGAAATAACAGAATAAGTATAAGAGACTAACTTGTAACAGTTGTAAGGAGATAACGGCGGCTTAAAACATCCGATAAGAAGCACGCGCGCTTAACGATTTCATAAAAGAAATCGTGGTAGAGCTAATCAAGCGATATAATTCCTGCATCCTAAGACCCGAAGCCAATATCAGCATACATTTATCCACGGTGGAAAATATTTAAGATACCGCCACCGAGCACCGACCTAATTATACATGACACTTTGGTGCTTCGTGCTCGTTGCACGATTCGATCTTTTGGTATATATTGTTATTTGTATTCGTTTTCATAGCATTTTATTACGTTAACTATGACATTTTAATATTGATTATCAACGCGTTAATATATAAGTAATATTTCTGTAATATTATATTATAATATGTAATATTTCTGATATATTGCAATATTACTGCAATATTACTGTGATGTTACTGTGATATTGCGTGCTTTATGTGGGATGTTTAAATTCTAAACTTTCCTAACGCGGTGCTTGAAAAATCGTATCTCTGATGAAAATTATTTGAATTTTGATTTAAAAAAATTGTTATTGCGATAAAATAGAAAAAATTACGTAAAAAAATTTTCTTACTAACAAAAAATTTGACATGATGCGAGAAATTTTTTTTGTATGGCGATTACTCAAAATATGATTCTGATATCAGAGAGAAGCCTGAGAATTATAATATAATAGATGTGTTAGCTAACATCCGTTAGCAATACTTTTTCTTGATCAGGCAAGTGTCGGGAATTCCATATTATGGCATACCCTACTCTTTTCCGATCAGGCATTAGTCACGCATCAGATATTCTTGATTTAATTTCTGCTTGGAGTATTACTATATACATGTGTAAATTTCTAATACGATAAATTGCTTTTTTTTTAACACCATCAACGGCAAGGGGAGGATGACCATTTGCTTACAATTTCAATTGCACACACCACTCATATTAGCTGATGCCTAGTAATTTTTCACTGCTTTATCAATGAGAATATTTTATTTTTTAATTGACCAATTAGCAATGCATGTGCAATCGGAACCTTCCCGTCAATGGCAGTGATAACTCATCGTTCAGTAGTGTTTTGTTACTTGTCTGAGTACACTCGTGCGCTATTGTTTGCTGAGAAGTGAAATTGAATATACCATTATAATTGTCATCCTATTCATCATCATATATTTAGCTCAAAAGCATAACTGTTATCAATGTCTATATTTACTTCTGATTTTAACATTTGTCGGAAAAAAGTGTACGATACATAAATTTTTTCTTGCTCTTGTCCTCAATAAATACATACCCGGGAAAATATTTTTATATAAAATTATATAAAATTATATATAATTGTATATAATTGTATATAATTATATATAAATATATATAATTATATAATTGTATGCAATTATATATGTTTATATAATTATATTTCTAATTTAAATATATTTATATATATA